ACGGGGTCCATGGAGGGTGCTATATTAGCAGCCGTGCAATTTCTGCTCTGAAGCCAAAGGAACCCAGCTTGACTGAGAAGAGGAAGAAATGAACCCTTCCCCCAGCATCCCTGAAAGCATGTTACCTGTAAGCATGTTCCCCATCACCAGACCCTGTGCTAAAATGAGGGATGACGCCCCCTTACTCACTGCCTGGCTGCTCCTGATGCATAGTGTGATCCCAGCCTGCCTGCCCAGCAGCCCAGAGTGGCAGGCTTCCAGAATTCACTAAGTTCACTGCAGAATGGTTCCCTGAATGCCAAGATATTCAGTATTGCCTCTGCCCAGCTGGGCTCCTCATCCTAAGGCCTCCATGGCCTCTCAAGCTGGCCCATGCTAGATCAACTGCTTCTTTACAGTTTTCTTTACAGGCTATAAGGTTCATGATCAGAGAGTTGGCCCTGAGACCTCTGAATTAAAATAGACCCTTGATTTAGCTCTGTGCCATTATAGTGCCTTGTGGACCTGGGGAACCATCGCAGTCTTCCATATGGGAGCTCCCCAAATTCCCCCAGCGCATTCCTGTACCTCAGGACTAATTCAGAACCATACTGATTTTAGGAATGTAAGGGAGGTAAGGTAGATAAAATGAGTTTATTTACATCATAGAATTTAGAGTTAAAATGACTTTAGAGGTTATCTCGTCCAGCCAGCTCACTTGAAACTTGAGGAAACTGAGGCCTGAAAAGGTGAAGTGATTGCCTCAGGTCACACAGGAAATAAATGGCTAAACTGGGATTTGAACTCAGATCCCTCAAAGCCATTGGTCTTTCCATTAAACCACATGACTTCCTATGTAAGATACCTTTGGAATGGTTAAACATACTATAAAATGCTATTATTATGCATCACTCTATGGTGATGGGATAAGCTAACACCATTGCCATACCCAACTATTCTAATCCTCTTGATAGCTCCTATCTACCCCATGAGGATGACTTCCTTCAACTAATAAGTCAGGCTAGTAGTTGTTCAGTTGTTTTCGACTACTCTTCATGACCCCATTTGGTGTCTTCTTGCAAAGATCCTGAAACAGTTTGTCATTTCCTTCTCCACCTTATTTTACAGATGAGGAAACTCAGGCAAGCAAGATTAAGATTAAGTGACTTGACCAGGATCATACAGCTAGTAAGTGTCTGAGCCCAGATTTGAACTCAGGAAGATGAGTTCCTGACCACCTAGCCACCCCTAGGGTACTAGTTAGAGCTAATCAATGTCTTGGCACAACCTTAGCCCCAGCCCTGCTCTTCCAGGCAGCGCCCTAGGAAGGGTGGATGAGAGTATAGCATCACTCTTCTCTCTGCCCCTCAGCCTCCTTTCCCCTACCTTGGTGTAGGTCCATTCATTTCAAAGGTAACTGGAGTGCCAGAGGTTCTAAACCGGCTGAGGAGTTAGCTTTCAGGGGCCAAGGAGGACAAGGAGCAGCTCGTGGGACCCATTCTACTGCAACTAGACACGTACCTATGTAACGTAGCCCAGGCAAATAAGATGCCTACACAACATGTACACCTACAGCCACATATACATTCGAATCATAGCTTCACACTTAAAGGGGTCCTCAGTGCTGGTTACCTACCGCCTCTGACTTAACCTTACAGGTTTGGAAGAATAAGTGACTGGCACAATAAGTCCAGACTAGCAAAGCTAGGATTAGAACCCAGGGTCTCTGACTCAAAATCCAGTAACACCACACATCATGCATGACATACCCAGCACACATGCACATTGAATACGTACCCCACGCAATACCTCCTTACACCCACTATTTACACATACCATACAACCCCAACATATAACATACTTCATAGACTGCACACACACACAACACGTCTCCCATATGCACCCACCCCAATAAATACCACCCTATCCAACACACATACGTGCGGGGCTCCCCTTCTCTGCTGGGTAGAAGTGCACACAATCTACTCTGCCCAATAGAAAAGGAATGTGTGGCGAGCGATGGTGAGGTTGGGGGGCTTGGGGCTGCACTCCCACCACCTGGCATGACTGCTGCGGATTATTAGTTCCTGGTAATTTAGTGCCCTTGTACAGAGTCGATTTGTGCCTTTCATTCCTAATTGATCTAGTGGCTGTTTAAATGGCAGCAGGCATCTGTTGAGAGTAGAAAGGTTCATAAGGCGCAATAATTCATAACACCGTCTGGAATTTGCCTTTCATGTCCCTCAGCTAAACCACTGCAGGGCTCTGCTTAAATTACAGCCACTGAGGCTTTCTTTGGTATTCTGCTCAGGGCCCTGAGAATCTTGCATTAAACTGGGATCAGGTTAGATTAGACTATAATATGCTGTGGTATTAGTGGCTGCAAATGAAGACTTAGACTGGAGTTTAACCCCTTCCCCTGGTTCTCCCTTTGTCTTCAGCCTGTTGGCCATCTAACCCACTGTTTTCCTCCACCTTCCCTCAGTACTCTCCTGCCTGTGCTGAATAGCTCTCCCAGCTTGATGGATGGCAGGGTTGGGCTGCCCCGAGATGCCAGCCCTTTAACTGTGGGCTGCACACCTGCTTGTAGCCTCAATGCCCAGCTGTGTATGCACTGTACCACCCCCTCCCCCAAACTAGAGGGAAGCTGGTGTCACAGGGATGCTCTCTGCCAAGCTAAGCAGCTCAGCTGAAGGCAGGAATTTATTGTTCCTTAGTCCCCACTGTCCCTGGGTCTGACCAGCCAGGTGTGTTGGCGGTTTGGGGGGAGTGGATATGGGGACGATTGAGGGTTTTTTTTATCTCAGTCATAGACTCTTAGACTTAGAAAAGGTCTTGGAGGCCCTCTTTCCTCTCTTCCTTGCTGTTCTCTCCACATCCTCCCTTGACACCTAGGCCTTGGCACACTAGACAAGATGCTCTCTCCTCTTTCCTGTGTTCAGTTATTCAGTATATGTGGAAAGAAGATAGACAACGGCATCACCTATTTCTGTGGACAGGGAGTTTGTGTTTAGTAGGGAGATGCTCTGTAGACCCCCATGCACACCTCCCTTTCTCCTAGCAGCTAGGGATTAGCCAGAGAGAAAGGAGCAGGATTTGGTGGCCACAGGAGGCTGAGGAGATAGGCTAGGGAGGGATTTGCGGATGCTTTTCTGAACCCCAGGGAAGGGAATGGGCTATTAATAATGGAAGTATCCAAGGTCACACTCTCTCTCTCTCTCTCTCTCTCTCTCTCTCTCTCTCTCTCTCTCTCTCTCTCTCTCTGATTTTGAGATATGCTGGACTTTTATTCATTCAATAGAAATGGGAGTTATACATGTAAGCATAGGCATATGTCCATATAGACATGAATGCAGTATAGAAATAGCCAAAATTCCTTGCTTGCATTCATATGTGCAGAAAACCTGAGCTCATACTCATGTGTGTGCATACACAAGCAATGAGAGTGACTGTCTATGGATAGTAAGATGTTTAGCTACAGAAGCCCACAGAGGAAGTATGTAAGTAGACACATATCCACATATAGATGTGCTTTTCCACATCCAAAGCCATCGGGACAGGTAACTCCAGACAACCAATGACTGGTGAGATTTCTGACTTCCTACCATGCTCAGCTCTGGAGCTTCAGTTTGGTAATTCAGTGAACATTTACTAAACACATATCGTGAACACTATTAAGCACTTCCTAAAGTCCTCAAATAATAGCTCCTGGTGGAATGGAGATGAGACTGAATTCTCAAAAGCTATGTCAATGAAACTCTGGCAGGCCCCACCTTGGGGTACAGGTCCAGTGATATATTATATGTCTGTTCAAGGAAAAACCCACTTAAGTCTGGAGATGATCATTGGCAGGTTGGTGTCAATGGAGGGAGTGCCTGCCCTCTCCTGTTCTTAAAGTATGGAACATATATGAAATGCTGGGTACTAGGTACTGAGGAAAATTCAAAGTGAGTAAAACATGGTGTCTACCTTCAAACAGCTTGCATTCAAAGGGAAGATAAGACAGGGACACAAATAATGATTATAGAAAATAAAATACAAGTACGTAAGAGACAAGTGAGATAATCTCTGACTCCCAGGAGTTTACATTCCTACAGGGAAAGAAACCTACAGGTGAGTGGTGTTTATGGAGGATTGTTTTAGACAGAGGGAGTGGTGATTGAAGTCATTAGGTGAATTGCTGATATGTACTTTTTAGGAGTGTGAGTGTTGATTGATTATTGTTCTCAGAACTAGATTTGAAAAGTGGATATGGGAGAGGGGGCAATTAGAGAGAGAGTCTAGGAGGGTCTTTTTTAGTGTTGAGAATGGTGCTGTGAGAGAAGTCATAGAAGTAGAAGAGTGTGGAGTATGTTCATGGGATAGTTAATGGTCCAATTTTCCCAAGGTGTAGAGTTTTGGGCAAGAGGTAAGGTCTGCTTCTGTGGACCGTGAATTTGTGTTTCATAGGCAGATGCTCCATAGACTCTCTCATACACACCTCCCTTTCTCATAGCAGCTAGGGGTTAGCCGGAAAGAAAGAAGCAGGCTTTGGTGGCCACAGGAGGCTGTGAAATGAGACTAGACACGTAGGTTAGCCCCTAATTGTGGAGGGTCTTGAATACCAAGCTTTACATTTTATCCTATAACTGGGTACCCATATAATTTCCTTCTGTGGTTGACACTGGACAAAAATTAGGCACTTCCTACATTGGTGGGTTCTTGACTCCTGAAATGTCTTAAAAAATGGAAGTACAAGTTGAGCCCCAGCTAAAGTCTCCTGGGGGCTGCTCAAACAGCCAGGCTTCAGGAGCTTCTGGTCCCTAGCTGGAGTCCTCTTGCCTGGACCCATCCATATCCAAGGGAGAGAATGCATTCACCTAGCACATTCTTAAATAATTGAGAGGATGACCCATGATACAGGGCTTCCCTCTTAAGGGTGGAGAGTTTGCAGAAGTGAGAGTAAGAGTTTCCAGGGATTGTCTACTAAGCAATGTGGCCTCTGTGTGTCTGTGTGTGTGCACTGTTGGTGTCCCCTACAGGCACCCTCTCTTCCCACTCCTGACGCTGCTGTTTGAGAAGTGTGAACAGGCCACCCAGGGCTCTGAGTGCATCACCTCAGCCAGCTTTGATGTGGACATCGAGAACTTCGTTCATCAGCAAGAGCAGGAGCATAAGCCTTTCTTCAGTGATGACCCGGAACTGGACAACCTGGTAAAGTCTTCTTTCTCCCCTGCAGGCAGGCTCCTCATCCACCCCACCCCTTCCCAATGCCACTGCCCTTTTCCTTAAGTCTCTTACTCCCTGAAACTGAAGTCACCACCAGGCCCCCAAACCAGTCACAGGTCTGACTGCAAAGTTTTTCCCTTGTAACCACCTGAGAAATCCCAATTATGGTTCACCCACTGTCCTCTACTGAGATTGGCCTAGTTTGCCTCTTTGGAACTTACTTTCTTCATTTATGAAACATGAAGGTTGGACTTGATCTTGAAGGTCTTTTCCTGATCTAAATCTATGATCGTGTGACCCTTAGTATGTATAGCCTGAAAAGGAGAGATTCAATGGAGTGGGGATCTACCAACCCCAGCTTGGACGCTTGGACAAGTGCTGCTTTCCTCTACCAAGAAAGATTTTTTTTTCTTTTCTGTGAGTTTATTGATTTAAGGAATTCCTATTAAGGAAACTCTTGCCCCAGTGCAGATCAGCACATGTTCTGCAATTTATCTAGTCTTAAAGTTTTCTGCAGGGGGAAAGGGGACAAACATTGGTTAATCCCCTACAATGTACCAGACACTGTGCTGAGTTCTTTACAAATATCTCATTTGATCTTCACAAACAACTCTGGGAAATAAATGCTATTATTACCCCTATTTTACAGTTCAGGAAATTGAGGCAGAGGTTAAATGACTTTCCCAGGGCCACACAGCTAGTAAGTGTCAGACTGGGTTTGAGCTCAGGTCTTCCTGACTCTAGGCCCATTTCTCCATCCATTGTGCCACCTAGCTGCCAGTTAAGTGCCTGAGCCTGGACCAGAAAGCCAGTATGTGTGACAAATGGAACTTGAATCAAGATCTTGCTACTTTTTTGTTTGTTTGTTTGTTTTTTGGTGAAGCAATCAAGGTTAAGTGAATTGCTGAGGATCACACAGTTAGTAAGTGTCAAGTGTCCGAGGCTAGATTTGAACTCAGGTCCTCCTGACTCCAAGGCCAGAGCTCTCTCCACTGTGCCACCTAGCTGCCCCTGGACTTGAGGCTGACTCTCTAACATATGCACTCCGTGAACTCTTAAGAAGAACTATAGAATGTTCTTATAGAAGGTTCAAGTTGGAAGAGGCCTTAGAGGTCACTCATTTCACATGATAGATAAGGAAACTGAGTCTCAAAGTGGTGAATTTACTTGCCATAAATGCTTATTGACTGGTATAGCTAACTAGGAGCAGAGCTAGGCCTAGAACCAGAGCTAATGGCTCATGTGGTGTGGTACAGAGAGGTAAAACAGGTATGTGTGAGCATTCGCGAACAGGAGATAACAAACCTAGACAGCAAAATAAGTCGAGAAAGCCTAGAAGAGGTCTTGCCTAGGAGCAGCTGGGTGGATTTTCAAGGCTCTTTCTCTCTCCATTGATTACTCTCCATTGAGTTTCCTTGGCAGAGACATAGAGACAGTGCACTTACATGCACACATATGTTCTGCTTATAATTTTTATAAGTAGAGTCAGGGTTGAATTTTTTATAGCAAACTGTATTTTCCATGGGTGTTTAGTACATTTTTAGGTGACCATCTCTCTGCTCAAACCCATTATGCTTCTGATTGTCTTCATCCACCATTGTGCCACTGTCTTATCTAGCCAGGACATGCAATGACATGTTAATGTGCACTCAAACAAAACCGAATGAGGAAAGCATATTTTGTTATTGTTGTTGTTATTTTGCTAGGCAATGGGGTTAAGTGACTTGTCCAGGGTCATATAGCTAGTAAGTATCAAATGTCTGAGGCCAAATTTGAACTCAGGTTCTCCTGACTCCAGAGCCAGTGCTCTATCCACTGAGCCACCTACCTGCCCCAAAAGCATATTTTTTAGTATATACCGGTGCATCCTCAAGCCAGATAAAAATAAGGATAACTTTGGAATTATCCAGGGCTTCTGTATTATCCACACTACTTGCTTCTTTGCAAGAAAGTCAGAGGTTATTCAATAACTTCTTAGTGCTTATGGAAAGAGCTCCCATGCGAAGGAGACCTCATGGTTTTGGAAACTTGGACTGGGGAATAAGATGATCCAGAAAGAGTGCTTGAGATGAGGATTGGAAGTGTTCTTGTGCAGTGAGGGCAACTCAACCCAATTCAACCCGAATGTATTAAGCTATGTGCAAGACAGTGTTAGGCACTGGACTGATGTCTAATGTGATATATAGTGTTATATAAAAGCAGAACCAATCCCACAAAGTCACTGGCCCTAAGGAGTCTATAAATATAATAAATATAAATGAGAAGTCTCCATTGCGAGCAATTCAAGGAACTAGAAGTTTTCTAGTTCAATCAAGGGAAGGCTTCAGGGAGGAGCCTTTGGGTTTTAAAAAAAGAATGTATTTCAGCCTGCAGAGGTGGGGAAGGATGTCCATTCCAGGCATAGAGAACACTATAAGCAAAACCAACGAGAGTGAAGAGGGCAAAGCGAGAACAGTAGGGGCAGTGATTAGTTAATTGGACTGAAATGTAGAATACATGAAAGGTAATACCAAGAAGTGTCTGGAAGTTAGGGTTGGAGCCATACTGTAGAGGTCAGTTGTACCAGTTTCTGCTAAGGGCCAAACAGGTAAACCTGTTCTACTGCTTGGGTCCTCTGTCCATGAACAAGGCCCCTAGATGGCATAGTAGCTAGAGTGTTGGATTTGGAGTCAGGAAAACCTGAGTTCAAATACTACCTGAAAATATTTACTAACTCTCTGACCCAGGGCAAATCATCTAACCTCTATTTGCCTCAGTTTCCTCAACTATAAAGTGGGCATAATAATAGCACCTACCTCCCAGGGTTGTTTTGAGGATAAAAATGCTAGCTATTATTATGATCAAGGACCAATAGCTGAGACTAGCACCTAAAGCTCATGGGTTAGTGTGGCATGGTGCTAAGGTGTAGAACAGATGTATGGGAGCTTTTGTGCCCTCAGGAGAAGGAATGATGGCAAGAGACAAGTATATCCAGAAAAAACTTCAGGCATTTGTACTGTGCGGTGTCCAAGGGCATCCTCTCTTCTTCCACTTTTTCCCTAGAAAAGTGTCCCTTTAGGTCACTGGGAAATGCCTGGTACCCTGCCATGACCATAGCCCACTGTTTGCATGAGGAAGACCTAAAATGCAAGGCGAGAGTCCTGTGGAAGCTGGGCTTTCATATGACTCCTGATGTTTCCATGAGGAGCTCAGACCTCTTCATTTACTCTCCCTGGCACTGTGGCTTATGGTACATTCACAATCTTATTGCAGCCTGGCAGCTACAGTTTATCACCTAAGCACTTTTTTCTTGTTTCTCTCCCTGGACTTCAGAGGAGTTCTATGTCCAGAGGTCCTATGGACCTTTTGCTAATCTATAGAATCGGATTCTTGGCTCAGGGGAGAGATGATGCATGATTGGGCATAAAACACCAGAAATGGATAATCTGTTACTAATTGGCAGTATGACCTTAATCAAGTCAATTCCCTTTTTGTAGGCTTCAGTCTCTTCATCTGTTCAATAGAGGGTCCAAACTAGATATTCCCTTAGGTCCCTTCCAGCTCCAATATTCTGTTGTTCTGTTGTAAGCATATTGGCTATTGGCAAAGCTTTCTAGAAACTCTGTTGGTCCTTGTTTTTATATCCCAAGTGCTTGCTGTTTCTGGGTTTTGACCTCCTTTGGTGCTAGACAGATAGCCAACTAATTCTTTGGGCAGTTCCATGTGGTTAAATTTTCTACTCATGAGAAGAATCTAGCTCAGGAACCAGAGGGCCTGCTTCTGCTTTCCCTGGACAATTGCTTGATTTGCTGATTGTGTCGACCTGGCAAGAGAAGCATCGATTGATTAATTAAGCATACTTCCTGGACCCCTCACCTTAGCTTAATTCCTATGTCTGCCCCACCAGAACGCTGCCCTGGGCCTGGGGGTGAGCGCTTTCTTTTGGGGGATCAGCCGATGCCTACCACCCCCTCCCACCCTCTGCCTTGACATGGTCAGGGAGGAGATGAAAAGGCCAGCCACGGGGGCCATCATTAGAACAAGAATCATGTCGCCAGCACAGCCGAGATGCACATAATTAGAAATTAGAAAAAGGTCAGATCGCGTCATTATCAGCTCAATCAGCTGCCGAGTGCCACAGTCAGTTAATTTGGCATCTGTATTTTTTACAACCCCGCACACGTAGCCCAGCGGACTGTAACTCTTTATCCGGACAGATATACTGCGCAGCCGAGCAGGGACATAAAATGAGAGACCCCAAGCAAATGAGCTGAGATAATTGAGAGATTTATTTTTTATATATATGTGTGTCAGGGCAGCTTTCCTTTGCCCTTGAATATTGACTTTCATAAATGGGATTGTCAGGGGGACACTTGGGTCTGGGGAAACTTTGGCCCTCTGAAATACCTCATTGCCAGACCCTGGGCCTCCCTCTAGACCTCATTTTTTCCCAAGTCCAGTAAGGCTCTGAGTCACCTGCCTCCCATTACCATTTGAACACGCCTCCCTCTCTCTCTCTCTTCAGCCTGTTACCATTCTCTGCTCTCTCCTAATACATCCCTTCCCTACTTCCTTTCCATGCTCTAAATTTTCTCAGCAGCAGCAGCCTCCAGCCAAGAATGACTGAATTTTCTCCAGAGCTGCCAAGATCAAGGAGGGCTTCCTAGGATTCAGAAGAACCTTCTCTCTTGGGGACTTCCATCTGCCCCCTATTATCCATCACTCTTAGGGTTAGAATGGGAAGGAGCCTTAGAGACAGGCTTCTTACTTTATAGGTAGGGAAAATGAGGCCTAGAGAAGGTCAATGACTTGCCCAAGGTCATATAATGAGCAGTGTGGCAAAACAGAAAGAAGGTTGAACCTGGAGTTCAACTCCATTTACTATGTACCTCATCAGGAAACGTGGCGTTGAATCTTGCTTCAGATGCTGACAATCTTAGTGATCCTAGGCAAGTCATATCCCCACTAAAAGCCTCAGTTTCTTCATCTGTAAAAGGGGAATAATA